CACTGCTAAGGCTGATTATTCATGATTTAGTGGTCGTTATGAATCACTGCATTTTGGCAATTAGATACTAATTGGTTACATAAATGAGTAACCATGCAACTTTATAGAATTCTCAGCTTTCACTTCTGAAAACCATTTACTGTATGCAACAAGTTTTGGTAGACTATAACATCAGTAACAGCACCATATACAGTAACATAAAACCTAATGTAACTTAAAGCTACATCATCATTTTCACCTCAGTGCTACTGAAAAAAATATGACACCATCACATGCATATGGATGTTCTGTTTGAGCCTCCAAACACTGCACTGTAATCACATTTAACCTCTTAATTTAAAGTTAGACACAGGCTGTAATAAGTTAATTGTTCTCCAACATTGTGCAACAATTTTGTGCGACTCACTCGAGGTTGTGAAAAATTACATTTAAGTCAGAGTAGAATTAATTATATCAGTCATCCTCTTTATAATGAATTACATTTTTCTCCACGCTTGTAAAATGTTTTTCCTCTCAAACTACATCTACTGCTCTTTAAAAAATGGTACTATCATGTCTGTCTTTATTTCATGCACTTTAGGAACAATACAAATCTTTCTCTAAACCTTTGAATGTACCCTGAACAGAACCAGCAATCTGTAGCACTTACATCTCCACTGTCAGATAACAGGTGCTGCTGAAGAGAGCTCGTCTCCCTGACAAACCTTTTCTTAGACCCAACCCGGTCGGCCAGGTTACCCATGATGACTGTGATGACCCTGATGCAATCCACTGGTCAATAAACAGTGTCTCTTCTTGAGCTTAGTGTTTTTCATTTACCTGCTTACAATGCTTTCTTCTTCTCTTAGTGCGTCACACACGCTTCACTTAGCAGAGACACAATTGCACGCACCCCCCCCACACACACACACATTCACATGTAAATCGGGGTTACATCTGTTCTGTTTTGAGCAACTGCTAAAATGGGATGACCTCCAGCAATGGAGGAGAAGAGTAGGAATAGACAAAAAGGAAAAGAGCAGATTGTGACAATGTCAGTGATGGAGAGTTTAAGGCAGACTGAAACTGGAGAATTGTGGAGAGCTTTTCTTATTTCTGCAGAATGAAAGCACTTTCTTTTTTCCTTCAGTCCACAATATGCTAATATCTAGTAAGTAAATCCAGAAAAAATGTCCAAAGAGACAACTTCAAAGATGAATTTCACTCAAAATTGAAAAGTAAACAGCAGAAAATCTTGAATAAACTGACATGAATGAGACATGATGCTGTAGGAATATTTCACTCTAATGATGAGATCCAGTGGGGGGGTCTGTTACAGGATGAGCCAGTCAACTGGGGATATATGGGAAGCCACACGTGTTTCCTTTGTATCCCTTGGGAATCAGTGCAAATCTCCCTTTTCTGCCTCTTGCTGCATTTGTGTATATTGCGTGCGTGTCAATCTTTTTTTTTCTTTTAGTAAACCCTCAGATTATTTATAACAGAACTGTTTAAATACAGCATTTTCTTTACTTTTAGGCCAAAAAAAATCTAAATAGGTTATATACATGTATATTTGTTTGTAATTGTTATTTTAATTCTCATCAGACCAGGAACAGAAAAGTAAAGAAAGGTAAATAGTAGTCTTCAGGGCAAATGCAATGTTTAAATATGCACCGAGCAACGAGAAGGTACTGTACATCTTAACCCCTTCTTGCTTTCTCTGTGATCGTATGCATGTATACAACCTTTGGAAAGAACAATTCGATAAGAGCCTATCATATTACACACAAACACTCTCACATAGCATTATTTGATAATTTATGTGCATATTTGTTTAAATAGCATAAAATCAGCGTGGTTTAGGACAGAAGAATGTTACAGACCTTCATGCAGTATTTCGTACAGTACCTGTGAGAGATAAGAGCTACAGTAAGAGCCAACTGCATGCAACATTTTGTTGTGGCTACAGTTTGCTCCCTGAGGTACAGGATAAAGTGCACTGTTGACAGATGTATCAACTACAGCAGATGACTGCACATCTTGTATATGAGTGTGAATGAGATTGTGAGGGAGCATCTTACAGGATGGATGCAGGAATGACTCTGACATGGGAGAGAAAGGAGGCGGAAACAAGTAAATCTAAGCTGAAAACAAGGACATGTACAGACTTTATTAACTATTTCTCTGTCTGTCTTCTTGTCTGTCTTCTATAATAACAGCTGGACTACTTTGCTATTTTTGGTAGCATCGTTGAAAGGTTGTCTCAGCTGACAGTTTTGCTCAAGAACCAATAGGTCTTTTCAAGCCTATGGTGTCAAGCTGTCAAAGGCTCCCACTGCTAAGTAATGTAAAATTGATTTGTTCATATACGGCATTTATATAACATCTTTAAAGCTACAAGGATCAAACAACCTCACCAATATACATATAAAATAGAATATAAACAATTTAGTAAGAAAAAGCACAGCATCGGAAAAAAGAAGAAATACGATAATAAAAGCTATTGTGTAACCCAATAAATCTCCATGTTCTTGCAGACCTTTTTAATGTATCATAGAGAATCCAA